TATATATATAATATCGTGGCAGCAAAGTTTGCTGCATTTACAATATGCGTGCTGTAGCTCATCCCGGTTCACTTAAACCAACATTTTAGCATCTGTCTCCACACCTGTGAAGTTATCATTCATTACAGTCGAGAAGTTAATAGCTTTTCGGAGTTATGCTGTATTTTTTCTTTTTGTAACTCCATTTTTTCCTCTTATCTCAGGAAGGGGTATTCGTGGCTAATGTAGCTCCAAACAATGCTTAAATGTAAGGCCATCGGAACTAAGATAAACCGAATAGCAATCACGATAGATGGTAAGACTTGAAACTAACAGGGGACCCGTTTGTATGGGATCATTAGTCGTCTGCTACGTACCGGTTTGGCATACATTGTTCTCTTACCGGATCATTTCACAGTGCCGAATCTTGTTTAATCTGTTTCGAGCTTGATGATAAAGAGTGCTTTTTGCGCCCTCCCCCCAGCGCTTCTAAGTTGCGTGTGCTGAAACGTCTGATCACGTGGCTTGAATGCATCATGGTAACCGCTGAGTACAAAATACTGCTTGAGATGGTGAAAATTCATTCGTATTTCATTTGAAGACTACTAACACAAAAATCCTTAGAGTAATAAGTCATGATGTCTAGACTTATCATTCCTAATGGACTATAAAGGTACGAAATATGTCAAACAATCGCGGAACAAATATCCTCGTGTAAAATCAATACCCTTCTGATCTCGTTATTCAAGTGGATGTAACCTAGGGATTGAGCGCTGTCACCGTGTATTGTTGGTTGTTATATTCATGCGAGGGACTCAATGTTATTTTAAAATGGGTTCTCTCACGCAAGTGATTCACATAGAATAGGATTTAAATTTTTTTTCCACGAAAATGGCTTCCCCTTGAATTTCAGTTTGCCTCAATACTACGTTTTCATTATTCGTATGACACATTTGCAAATGAAGAGCATCGTATTACAAGGAGAGTGTTTAAGGCCGCTAAACATCTGCTTTTCCCTTTTTGGTACTCATGGGATCGCATCCCGTATATACACTCTAACGGAACCAGCTGAACTACTGAAAACTCATTATTCCAAAGGTTTTGCTGCACCACATGTTGAAGGTTTACAGCTACCTCCATGTCCTTCGCTGACCAACGTACTGCTGAAAACGTCAAAGCAAAACTAATGGCTTTGCGAAGAAATGCAACCTCAGGTGCGAACAGTATACACCCGAATGCCGTTATCTTTTTGGCGAATCACTTATCCGGACCACTAGTCATTCTATTCCAACGAATGTTCGACCAAAGAAATCCCACAATCGTGGAAGCAAGGAGTTATTGCACCCATATACACAGTTGGCTGTCCTGGTGACCCTGCTAACTATCGACCCTTCCTCCGGTGTTATCGAAAGTCATGGAGTCAGTTGTGGCAGATTCCCTGATAGAACACTTGGAAAGATACAACATTCTTTCGATAGCTTGACTGGATTCAAGTAAAAGCGATCCTGCTCCACCAACCTGTTTTTTAATCGAGATGAATGAACCAAAACAGTCGACGAAGGGGGTGCGGTGGATGTGATTTATTTCGACTTCTCGAAAGCACTCGATCAGATGAACCACCAAATTTTGCTACTGAGGCTCTACGGTTACGAAATTCGAGGTTTCGTGCTCGATTGGATTAGAGTATTCCTCCCGCAACGGATCATATCTGTTCGTGTTTCCGATTCCCCATCCGGTTTTATCAACGTTACCCGCAGTGTTCCACGAGGGTCTGTACTTGGTCCCCGACTTTTCCTCGCATTCATAAATGATCTATCAAATTTGTTAAGGCCAAAAGCGATACCGTTTGCAGATGACGCAAAAATCTGGAATACGCTCACATAAACTGATTGCTCTCTAACACTTCAAGAAACACTGCACGCAGTTTATCAATGGTCTACGGTGAATGACATTGAATTCAATGTTTCTGAATCCAAAGGCCTATCCCTGCGCCACAGGAGTAGATCGTCGTATTTCCTCAGAAATCAACAGCTGCCACAACCTCTAGTGAGAGGGACTTAGGTATATCTGTTCAAGAAGACCTAAGCTGCTCGATCAATTGCACCAGGGCTTCGTCCGCTGCTGTGAATAATGTCGGCTTGCTTAGGCTAGTCTTTGGTCGGTTTCAATCAGCACTGTTCTCACGTTTGCTATCAGTGTGCATTCGACCGTACACAGAGTATGGGGAATCTCGTTTTAGCAAAACCGAATTTAATTTGGTGTGTATAAAGATGCATCATATAGCTTACTAGGCAGGCTTAAGTTTTGCCAACAACACGGCACTGACGATGCAGAGGAAATTAATCCGACGTTCAGGCTGCAATCGGTAGCCTTCCTCAAGGGAAGTTTTCAGTCGAATCTTTTGACACTTAGTCTATTGAAATATAAACACATCTATGCTTGTATGCCGTTTATCTTCAGCATGTATACTTACGTTTTCATTTTTTAGGTATTACATGGTTGTTCCGCCCGAATATCCCACTGCTGGTAAGTCCTGAATTGCATACGGTTTACAGGCTGCAGTTCTTTTGAACAGAACGAATGCCCTTTTTTCCACACATCCATCTTGTGTGACCTGTTACTCTCAGTGTATCCATCCTCACTCTTACTCCATAAGTAACCATTTCGTCCGCATCTATTATATTTGATGATTCATGCAAATGGCTGTTTTCTTATCAGTAGACTGATGATGGACATCGTCTGAACTGCTGACTAGAAGAACTAGAGATATCATCCTCACATACTTTTCAATAGTTACACACATTACGAAGTCAGCCGTTAGTGTATATCATGTATGGATGAATTCCAAGGTTTATTGACAATGATACTGATAATTTCAGAAGTTACTAAAACTTCTATATGTATGACTTGTCAGACTGTGAGAGTAGAGTCCGAGGTACACCAGTGACCGTTAGTGGTGACCAACCGTGATTCAAACATGTTTACTTCGTCGGGTATACTGTGAGTATAATTGTAGCTGTTTTTCCGGATTCTGCGTAATATTAGTCAGTGCTTCAGTTTCTTCGGAACAAAATAGCAGTTTTATAAGTGCCATATTCTCAATGTTCCTTTTCGATGTTTTTTCATGGTTTGTTTTAAAATTTATCGATTGCGCTTTCATACTGCTCCATAGTTTACCACATCTTAACAGTTTGTGGTTTTTTTCTTCCCTTTGGCTCTTTGTTTTGTTTTGTTTTTCCTAACAGAAAACGGGTCTCAAGAGTTCGTGTAAGTTCTCACTGATTTCACCATGTATTTCTCTGTCGTGATTGAGCCTCGCGCTTACGACAAATTGTAACTCAATTCTCCTTTTTATTCACTGTCTTAGCACATACCCCACACTTACTCATCTCTCCTGTTACAGTGAAGTCAAATGGTCTCCGCACTTGGCCAATGTACGACGAGACAAATTGCGCTCCCTGACGCAACTATTCTTTTCCGTATGGGACAGTGAAGTTGACGCAAGTGGTATCGTACGCGCCAATCAAATATCAAACCGTAGCCTGGATACAAGCGAATTGGAGGACACCGATCGCTTCAGTCAATCTGCACCGTCCAATTTATCTCCTACTTTTAGCCAATTTCATCAACCAGTCGGTGCAATGGTGTCCCAGGTGAATTTCTGGTGTATTTATTCTTCTCTAGATCGCTATTTATTTAAGGCTATATAAGGCAAGTAACTGTTATCTCATTAATTATCCTTCCTATTGCAACTGAGCACTGATGGAACGAGGCAAGCACATTTCTGACTCAAGAAGGAAGTACAGTTGGGAAGTGAACGAAGAGTCATGATCATATCAATATTCGGTTGGGTTTACGTCACTTGAAGTTGTATTGATCAGCCGCGATCGCACATGTTCCCCATAGAAGAATGATTGTGTCACTCCCTCCTCTTCCAACAGTGTAACCTATTCACCAATTACTGTGAATGGCATTTGGCAACTGTACGAATAAAGGCTCACTTAGACCGCTTAATCAATAGTGGAGCTTTGTGTGGTGTAAAATGCTATCATTTGCAGGGATTTATCGTGTTTCTAAAACCACTACATCTAAGGTCGTTAAATTTTGGACAGAGTTTTTTTTATCTGTTCCGAAAACTGGCTTATCGTTTTAGTTCAAGCACCTGCGAATAACATCGGTGTCATTCCGCAGCTCATCAGTTGCTATGTTTATGGCGCGGCGATTCAACCAATTTTACTGATTCTTCGGATTTGTTCTGATGCGATATTTAGACTTTCTCCGGCATGATTGCACATTTTCGAGTGTTTCACTCCTTTAGGAGGTTAAATGTACTAGTCTTTGCTTTTCTACTTTCCTGATTGTTTTTGAATCTTCCATGTTTTTCCTTCGTTACACACTGAGAGTTTGGTGATACACCTGAACGACGGTCACCCCTTGACGAAAAATCACTTTTAGATGCAGACTACTCGTGAGTAACATATGTGCCTCGATGTATAAACAGCAAGAGAAGAGTTGCGAACCTAGTCAAGGAATTTCACCCTAACTAGGTAAAACCATAATTAAACTGATAAAGCCTGCCGATCTGTTGGAACAGAGCCCCGTTATCTGTTTCAAAGTTAGATGAACCGAATTAGAACCAATATGTGTACTGTAATTTATCTTAATGTCAATATGACGGATTTGCTGGAGGAAAAAGCTTTTTTCTGGTAGTGAGACGATTGATCGAAACGGTACATCCAGCTTGTGTACTTTCGGGAGTCCATAGAACCACGGTACTGTACTGTCCTCCGGTTTCATGCGTCTGTTTTCATCCGCCGTGATGTAGTTATTCCTTTTTAAATTGCTCAGTACTTTAACAATCTTGCTTTCGGCCTTCTTCGTTGGATCCACTTCAATCCGTCTGTACGTGTTGGTGTCTTCCAGTAGTTGTTTTGTCTTGGTTATGTAATCCGTCTTGTTCATTATTACAGTCAGTCTTCTTTTGTTTGCCGGGAGAATGATTATGTTCTTGTCGCGTTTCAAGTTTTCCATAGCTCGTAGTTCCTTTTGATTGAAGACATTTTTCTCTTTTCTCAATGCAGCGGTTATTCTTAATCTTATGTCTTCTTTGGTATCTGGCGTATGTTGTTAGTCTTCATAGCGGACTCCAGTGCTGCTATGAAATCTAAGCAATCTAAGCATGGTTAAGGTTCAATCCTCGAACTAGTACTAACTGTTCGGCGTCTGATAACACGCGACTGGATAAATTATTTTTTATCCAATTCTGTGATTCCCGTTCCCTATTCTGCGGGGTTATTCTGTCCAATTTCCTCTAGAGCCGTTCTCTTGTAACTTGCCCTGTATGGTTATTTCCCGTATTTTACCGGGTGACAACTTTCGTAAAGTATTTATCAGAATGTAACTTCAAATAAAAGGAGTTGGAAGGGTTAGTGACTGTGATTAGGGCCCCCGGTTTGCCAAGGCTGGGAACATGTTTAGGACCGTCATTTAAAGATATGTCGCAAGAATACAAAAGCCATAGAGTGTGTTTGCCTTGGGATTCGTGTTAAGCCTCCATTTAGCTATTCTCCAGTCGATCATGGCAAGCATCAAATAACAGCTGTGTTGTAAACAACAGCACTCGTGCATCTGCTGACTTTGCTTATGACTGTAAATTCGTCTTGGTAACACTAAAATTTTTGTCTATTTGCCGTTCTTTCCTGGGTTTTTTAATCAGATGGGTTGCTGAACTACAGCAAGCAAAATCAAAGCACGTGGATATGGGGTTCATAATCGTTCAAATTCGAACCGAAAACTAATCCTGTTTCCACTCTATCGTTTTTATTTGTTTATCTGTTTTTTCTTTGCAGTCCGATGGCTTTCCCTCAGTTATATTTAAAGATGGTGGAATAAAGCTTGTTAGAGGATTAGTGGCTCTGTTCTCCACAATTTAGAAGACAGAATAGGTTCCCTCTTCGTGGGGGTAAGGGGAATCGATCTTCGTTTCCACCCTTAAACAGGGTACACGCAATGACTGCGCCAATCAAAGGGGTATAAACTTGCTCCCATTATCGTCAAAGCTGTTGGTGTTCGTCATTATCCGCAGATCATACAATATGCATGTAACGCAGGCCCACGAAGTGCAGGCCGGGTTTTGCACCGGTCTTGCATACATCGGTCAAATCTTCACTCTGCGACAGCTGACAGAGCATCGTCATGCTTACCACAGATCAACGATGATTGTGTTCTTAGACATCCGCGCGGCCTTCTACTCTCGACAGAACCGCACAATGGAACTGTTTGTTGATGAATGGAGAACCAGAGAAATGTGTGTCGATCCACAAAGAGTTGTATCGTCATACCTCAGGTCGGGTTAGGGTCTATGGTCAGTTTTCGCCACTCTTTACGGTCTCCCGTAGAGTTCCACAAGGCTGTCTTATGTCCCCATTTCTCTTAAGCTTTCCCATAGGGGATTTTCTACAAAATGCTTTGTCTAATCTATCAAACTGTAGAGTCGGGCTTCTCCCAGGAAACAGAGTTATTGACATAGAACATGCCGATGACATCGCCTTGTTTGGCAGTAATACACCGGTGCTCGAGGTATGGTATGTGCTTTGCACCATCCGAGTGCCAAGTCTTTGGACAAGACTGACAAGTGTCTGCGGCGGCACTCACTCACACCTGGAGATGGTGTTGGGGAAAGAGGTCACATCACGAATGGCGAAAGCTAGAGCAGCCTTTGCCAACTCGTGGCGCCGCGATGACATGCGACTGATCGCCGTGGTTAGTAGTGTTCTGTTTTACGGTTGCAAGACCTGGCCCTTCTGCGTACAGGATGCCAATCGACTTTCTGTTTTCGACCACCGATGTCTCCGAAGCATTGCTCGTGTCTGATGGGAACATCGGATGAGAGACGTTAAGAGACATAGTCCAGAATATAATTCGGAGGCGCGAATGCTGTACATCCAGTTTATTGAAATCGCGTGCCTAATGAAGACGTGATAAAGTAACACCAAATATCAAAAAGTTCCATTTCGCCTGTTCGCCAAGCTTAGAAATTTGTTTGCAAACGTTTCACCACCAGCCGAGGTGACATCATCAGTGCTCTCTACACTGATTATTGCTTAAATTAGGCTATCTCGCAAATTAAGTATAATCAGGGAATGGATGAAACGAACAGTTGTGATAACACCGTATATGTTATTGAGGACAGTCTCTCTGAGGGTAAATATCCTTTTCCAGAGCTGCATAGCAGATTAGTGGTGTATAAAATCGAACCCAGCCTTCCTGATCAGTTGCCTTTTGAGGAGTATCAAAGACCCCTCCGCTTTACAGCGTTGGTCATAGTTGCAGATCATTAATTAATATATTTCATTTGAAACACTCACTGATCCATTTGTTTCCGATTTCTCTCTGTTTACTTCTCTCAACGTAGCTCTCGAGTGTAGTTTCCTCAGCTGCGGCGGCAATGATGAGCGGATTGACAAAACCACTTTCCGGGTCACATTCTGTCTCCGAGTCGGAGAATATCTGATCTGAATTATCCGGTCTCTCTGCATGCTCACCTTTGCGACTTCCCAACCCAACCCGTCGTTCGTCTGACCTGGATTGGTCTTATCACCACAGATTCCCTTTCTACGTCTTTTCGACACAGTCTCACCGTTGTCAACTCCTATATGCGTGCATATAACGTTTCCTTTTCTGCGTCGTCTCGCACGTTTTATGCGCATAGATGAATAGACCGAATTTCATCATGCTCCTCACCTGAAGTTTACCACATCGCATTCCGTTGTATCGTGCTACACACGCACACCGTTCAGTGTGAGCCGCGTCATTCGGTAGCATTCATGTACTCGTCGTATGGATAACGTCATCCTTCTTTCACACACACACACACGCGCGCTTTGTTGTGCCCTCCTAAATCAGGATCAGAATTACCTACACACACCGGACCGTGGATCCATTTCACTTATTTCCACGTACTTCTAACTTATCGATTTCTCGTTGTTATCGTTTTTTTTCTTTCTTTTGTATATGCGGTGTTCACAACTAAATTTTACTGAATTCTTTTTTTCCTTGCCTCACGGCTATTTCGTCTTCAGGGCTCATCTAAAAAAATCGGTGATATTTCATATGTATCGTCAATTGTACTGATGAGTACACTTCGAGGGGGAAATCGTAACTCTTTCCCTATGGGCCAAGGGAATTTATAGTCTGTGCTCTCCTGTTATTGTTTGTCTGTTCGAGTGTATGGAGGATGCGCGAAGCGCCCGTCAAAGTGCAACGTGACTTCACAGGATTGTGTTTCGTCTCCCCCAGCTGTAATGCTTGACGCTCATTAGTTAATTATAGCGGAATTTTTCTTCCTAGGTGGTTGTGTGATAAATGACAGTAACGTAGACAAGGAAGTAACCGCCCGCATTTCCAAGGCACGCACAGTGTAAAGAGAACTGAAACACCTCTAGTAACGAAGTGGTTTCGTTGAAACTGAATGGTCGCGTATACGCGACCATTCAGTGCGCCATTGTGTGGTCAGTTCTGTTTTACGTTTGCGAGTGTATAGATATTCATCATCTCCGCTCTGTGTGAAAGAAGTCGATGTTCGTTGTGAATGGCTAAGCCGTCAGCTTCACAGATCTTTTCGCTCACCTTTCCTATCGGTGAACCTCATGAGGTGGGACAACCGGTGAGAATTTACCATGGTGGTAGCACATTCCATCTCAGATAATCTTCGTTTCCATCAGATTTCGAGGTCTCTGCGTAGGTTTGCATCTGGCTACAAGTCGTGTTTCGTTGTGCTCGCTACCGATAGGGACTGATCGGTGTACATCAAGAAGACGCAGGGACCCCACATAAATCCTGGGAACTTTCTTTATGGTTCACCACCTCTATGGTGCTGTTTACCATTCATCTCGGTGATTATGAATGTCGCGTATCACCTACTGTCGCCTGGGATCCAATCTAGGATCGCAGCTTTAGATCTCTCCCTGAGAGCTACGCCAGCAAGACCCGAATCCGCAACCTGAGAGTCCCCAATGGGGCGTAAACGAAACTTCACAGATTGATTTGCTAGGGACGTCAGTCGCTAAATTGAGTTGAAATCTTGTGGTTTTTCGGAGGGTTAGACTCACGAGCTAAACACGTTTGTTGTCCTATACGCACATTAAATGTGATCAGTTTGAAGACCATCATGGACGAAGAAGGGCTGCAGCTGGTGGAAGATCCGGTGGGACTTGGATGTTAGTCGAGGAAGGATGCAAGAGAACAGTGGCACAATTTCCACCCGCGGCACTACTGTTTGTGCGACCGTATGGCGAACTTGATGCATGTGGAGGTATGTGATGGAGTCGAAGACCGTAAGCCTAAGGCAGTTAAATTGGTTTGAACCTATTAGAAACAGAAATCACCTTGGAATTTGGAATCAACGGTGATACCATCAGCATACCTAATAGTATTGTCTGTATCAGTGGGTGAGCCTCGAAAATAGAAAGAGAAAAGGGATCAGTATTGCTCCCTGGAGCATCCCGGAATTGACCAGTAGCGAGTCAGAGATTGTCTTAAGAAACTCGATGAGATTTGTTCTACCAGTAAAATACTTACAGAGTAATGGACAATCCAGCACCATAGATAATTACAGGAGCATTGCGGAAGTCCAGGAAACACGCCATACTGTTCCATGCCTTCCTGAGGTATTCAAAAATGCAATTCACACAACATATTGAGAACAAAAATGCGTGACGTACAAGCTCCATTGGGACTGGACTTTCTCATTCCCTTTTGTTCTTGTCGTCAGTTATATTTAATGCCGTATAATGGCACGATTACGAATTACTAAAAGCTAGCTTGTCGAATGGGCAACGGTGTCTAAGGTGGAAGTGGTTTGCGATATCCGAATTGTGTATGACCTTACTAAGCCAGTGTTTGGAAATTATGTGAACAAACATGAGCTTTTCAGACGGATTTGATTGAATTTTTTCGGCATCCCTTTTGAGGACTGGCGTGGTACGCGCAGGCCTCCGGTAGTCGCTAATTTTTTGCTCATCGAAGGAACGAGTACGATATGATCTAGTCCGTCAGGACCCGAGTCTTCTATTGTTTTGGGAAACATCACCAGAGTCTGGTTAGAATTAATGTAAAACCTTCATGACAGTCAACTGATTTGAAATAGGATTCCGGTATCTCAGTTTGAGTTGACGTGTAAAACATGTTATTTAACTCAGCTGCTGTCTGCTGAGACCCGCTTAGTTTGAACTTTGGTCCACAGCGTTATTCAGTACACTTCCCAATTGATTGCAATTCTGACCAACTAGAAGAGTTTGAGTGTAAAGCCTCTAAAGTTTTAGGTACTCAGTTTTAATCAACACTGGTATTTGTCGGTCAAATTTGTGTATGCCCGTTCCTTAATTCTTCTAAGGTACTTCAAAGTAAGGGAGGAAAATCTGGCGAGGCTTAAGTACATAGCCCGTGAGGTGTTCAAAATCGACCGAGAAACCTGGGTCATAGAGGTGATCAAGAAAGATAAAACCATCTCACCGGGGTTGATTCACTTACGTCAACCTCTCAAACGTCTCTAACAATTGCGCAACAATCAAACTTATTCCACTTAACTCTGAACGTATATGCCCTTGTATATGGTATGACTAGGGATATCGTTTGTGCCCGTTCTGCTATTCCCATCGAGAACCGAAACCATTAAAACTGAGCAACAGGGTTGGTTGTTAAATTAAGCGCATTGAGACGTTATTTTCAAAAATATAGTATGTTGCGTCATCGAAAAGAAGTCATCCATACTGAGAAATGTGGTTTTACTACTCCACTCATTTGCATGTTCGGTGTAAAACCTGAGTCATTTTTCCGTTCACATAGAGTCTAGTAATAAGGCGTAATAAGCCTCCCATTGTCTGTCGTGCGGTACTTCTGGCGCAGCTACCACTGTTTATTCGTTCATCTTCTCTTAATAGGTTTGCTTCATTGAATTGACAGCCCCCTCCTGCCGTTGCAGTGGCAGTTTCGGAAATACGATCGCAGCACAATGCTCGTGTAGAAGCTAAATATGAATGGAGAGGTAGAGCGACATTTTTGTACCGTACCGGTAGCGGGAAACTAGGGTGGAGACTGAATATCGGTTCTCTTAGATATGGTCGGTAAACTTCATCTTGGCTTGGCTTACCAAGTACGGCGACCAGCCTGCTAACTTCGTCGAAAATTTGGGGAGAGCCGTTAATATTCGCTTTTGTTTATCAACACCGTGTAGAACTTATAAATTAGCAAAACAATCCAATCATCTATTAAAATCGTATCAAGAATTAGTGGTAAGTCACACCGATGATGCGTTTGAGTTCGCTCGTATTTTGCAAAACACTGAACCTGAAAGCGACGCGGTTGCCGTCAGCTTTGATGCGGTTTCTCTGTAAACAAGTTTTTCCATAAAAGACAGTTTAGATTCTCTACATACTTTGCTGACGTCCAATGTCACACTAGGGGAACGAACTTCTTTAACCCCATCAGAAATTGTCACAGGTGTAGAAGTTTGTCTAATGCCAACTTTATTTACTTTCAAGCACAATTTGTACGGACAATCCAATGATGTTCCCATGAGATCTCCCATCTCTCTTATTGTAGCCAACCAATTTTTGCATTCAATCTAATTAGAGACACTAATTCTGATAATCCGACGTTTCTACTTAAGATACGTAGACGATATGATTTTCATCATTGCCGACTGTCTAAGCAAACAGTGCAGCTCCATCAATTTTACAATGGAGTCGGAGGATGTGAACACAGTCATCAATTTTCTGTACTGTTACCTCAGGGTGAACGACTCACGAAAATTTACGACAATATTCACAGAAAACTCACACATCCGGACAAACTTCTAGATTTGAATCAACTCATCTGCAATGTGTTAAACGGACTCTTAACTTCTCTCAGGATGATAGAGTAAAGGAGCTCTGCAATGAAGATAACCGCCAAATGGAAATGAAACGCCTCATTAAAGTGCTACAAGACAATCATTATTCACTCTTGGTTCGATACCAACTGGAAGCGAACAAACTAATGATGCAATCTGAAGATAAAAAAGACCATGTAGCCTCTACTGGCATTCCATATAGATTAGGCACTTCAGAAGCAATCAGAAAGATTCTGGAAGATTTCAACATGCACACATTCCTTCGGGTTGACAACCATCTGAAACGTCATCTCATGAAAGCTAAAGATCCGGTCGAATTGCAAGATCAAAATAATCGCATTTAGAAAGTCAGTTGTCAAGATTACCCCGCAGGATACATTGGGTAGACCAGTAAACAACTCAAAACAAGAATACGCGAACTTAAGACAAAAGAAAATCACCGGCCTAAGGACAAAGCAACTCTGAGAAAACGAGAACGAGACTCAGCGATCGCTCTTCACACCATAGCCGAAGGTCGCACCATAGACTACGAGAACCCGAAAATACTCCAACTCGGATTTCGAACATGCACTGAACGCTTGTATGCCGAAGCTTTGGTCATTAAGACCCACTGTACATGGGTC